CCGCCTTGGAGGGCATAATCATTAACCAGGGCGGCTGGGTGAGGAAGCGGCGGCAGCTGCCCCGAGAGGCCCCGCTCGCCCTTTGGCCTGCTTCAGCCTAGCCCGCCGCCCAGGCCGGGGTTGTGAGGCGCCCTCCCCGCCGCAGGCCGCTTGCTGGAGCCGCCTCTGACCTCCACGCGTTTCTGGCGTTTCGGACACGGCCCGGAGCCTCCTTTGGAAACCCGCCGGCTCTGGCCGCCTCTGCCCAGCCGAGGGCGGCTTTCTCACGGGAGAGGCTGCGGGGAGGGAGGCCAAAGGCTCCCGGCTTGCATGGAGTCACGGGCGCCTGACGAAAAGCATCCGGGGCCGCTCGGAGATGCGCCCTTCGGCGGCCACCGCTTTGACCTTCCCCAAAGGAGGGGGCGCCCGCTGAAGACCGGGCGGGCTCTGAGGCCGCCTTGCCCGAGCTGAAGCCGCTCGCCGGACGGCGCCCCCGAGGCTTCACCAGCGCGCGCGGGAGAGGAAGGGCCAGCCGGCCGAGTGGGCCGGTCTCTCTCTCTCTCTCTCTCGGTGGGCAGGACGCCGCTTCCCTGGGCCGCTGGCAACCGCCCCGGAGGCCGTCCCAGCGGAAGGACGGGCGCCCGCCCTGCTAATCCCGCTGAAGGGGGCTCTGGGGCGGTGTCGCCCCGCCTGTCCCGCTCGCTTCCCGCCCCGAGGCTGGCCCCGAAAGGAGCGCCCCTTTCCACTCGCGCCGGGCGGTCGGCCAGCTCGGCTCCGCTCCTCAGCTCCGGCCGGACGCTCCCGCGGGCCCTGCCTGCCTCCGCCGCGATGAGGAGCCGGCGGCCGCAGCCTTGAAGGCAACAGGTAAGCCGCGGCTCCCGCTCCTGACGGCGGCACCGAACCCGGGCGCGCCTTCGAGGCGCTGCCGTTTCCCCGCCTCGGCTCCCCCGGCGGCGGCGGACGTGGCGAGGGGGGCTCTCTCGACGACCGCCGAACCAGCTCGCTTTCCGGATCGGCCCGGCAGCTGCGCGAGGCTTCGACTTCGGGCCGCGGCGGTTCGTGGGTGGCACAAGGGGACGGAGGAAGCCGTCAAGTCCAGGCGAGGACGAGGCTGGCGACTCCTGGCCGGCACTCTGCGTGGGCTCAGAGGTTGCCTCGCCCCTTCGTTTTGCCGGCCACGACTGAACCTCGCCCGCCCCGACCGTTGGCCCAAACGGAGCCCCTTTCGCCGGAGCCGCGCCTCTCTGGAGGAAGGGGTCCCGGGCGCCGCCGCCGCCGCCTTCTCTCCCTTTGCCCGGACCTGCTGCCCGCCCCCCCGAAGCCGCGAAGGCGGCAGTTATGGGGCCGCGTTCCCGCGGACTGGCTGAGGAGGGCAGGGAGGGGGGCGTCACCCGACCTGGACTGGGCGCTGCCTGGCCGCGGTTGCCCCGCCAAGGAACCGGGCGGCGGGGGGTGGGGACACTCCGTGCCGCTCGCTCCCCCCTTCGCGGCGTTTAGACGAGGCGGGTTTCCTGGCGAGGGCCGGGGGCGTCGCCATGTTCTTCTTCCCACGTCCAGGAGTTGCAGCGTCTCCCGCGGGTTTCTTCCGCCCCGCCTTCCCGCTTTTCCTGCCCCGACTGGCCGGTCACCAGCCCGTCCTAGCTGAGGCCTCTCAGCCTCGTGGCGCCGGAGAAGCTTCGGTCTGCTGTTGGGCGGGAGGCTGCGGCCCTGCTGGGGCTCCCCCGGGCCCTGGAAAGCGGCTCCCTTCGCCACCTTCTGTCCCCTTTCCTGGAGGGACTTTGTATTATTCGGTGCCCTTTGCGACTCTCCGGAGGAAACGGCTGTGTAGACGGAGCGGGAGAAGGTTGGCCTCTCCAGCCAAGGCACCCCTCTTTGCGCAGGGCACCCCCTTGGGGGTCCATGAGAGGGAGCCCCCCCCCGTGCCTCTCCTCTGCCCACCTCTCTGCAGCCCCCGGAGAGGCGCGGGGAGCTCCGGGTGCTTCCCCCAGTGAAAGGGGTTCTCCCGCAAGGGAAGGGGCCTCTTGTGGTCCTTGGATGCTCCTTTAGTGCGGGCCACAGAGCAGGGAGGCCCTCTGATCTTTGGCCACCTGAGCAATGCCACCTGATGGAAACAGGGAGGACCTTCCCCTCCCAAGAACCACCTGGCTGGTCCCACCGCAGCAAAAAGTCAAGGTAACACACAGAGTTGCTGCAGACGGTTGTTCTTCCTAGAGTTAGCAGGCCCCTTGAATCCCGTCCCAGGTCTCTGTAGAAGCCCCAACTCAACCTTCTCAAAGAGGTGACCGCCTGGCTCCATCACTACACAGCCAGGAAAGGGGAGCCCCTTCTTTTACCCTCAAACTCCACTCCCTATTAAGGCACCGTTCAGTTGATATGGGGCTTCCTGTACTATAACTTAATTTTGCTATTTTTGTTGCACCCTCTGAAAAATTGAGGACAACCTTTATACTTCTGTGTTGCATCATTTTCAAATATTCATATGCTATCTCTTCTCCAATAAATCTTCCTAGTTGCTTCAGGTTTTTTTTCCTCACAGAATGTAACCTTCCAGTTTCTTGAAAATCTGGTTCCCAATTATCTTAGTTCTTTGAATTTGTCTGAATCCTTTTAAAAATGTAATGTCTACAATTGGACATATTACTGGATCTCTCCCTTACACAGGTTGTAATATACTGGATCTCTCCCTTGTACTGGCTATAATATGCAAGATTAGATATTGTATACAATACCTAAAATAGAAGATTGTGTAATTTGGAAAGTGTATTTCATTTGATAGCCATATTTGCCCTCTTTGCAGCTAAATCCCACAATTCAGCGTTATTCAATTTGTAATAAACCTTTTCTCCAATATATCCCAAGTATTGTTTCCAAGCCAGGTATCTCTGTTCAATATTTTTGCATTGGATAACTGTTACCTAATAATGTCTCTGTTAAATATATTCTGTTGTTTATCAGTTTGACAAGGGAAGTCTAAGTCAGGGATTTGGGGGGGGGGAGTTGCTTTTGAGTCAGTACTGATGACCTCTTTTAATCTCGACAGTTTTCTTGAGGAAGTTTTTCAGGAGTGCTTGGCCTTTGCCTCCTTGAGAGAGAATCCAGGGTCACCCAGCTGACTCCATGGCTAATGTTAGAACTCTGGTTTCCAGCCTGGCACTTAACCATTGCACCACCTGGCTCTCCTTCCCGTGTTAGCAGGTAGCCCTTGGCCATCTTCAGTGAGCAGAGGCTACGACGATTCTCTTATATCGGATATCTCTCTCTCTCTCTCTCTCTCTCTCTCTCTGGACGTCTTTGGTGATCCATCCCTCCTCCTAGTTGCTGTAGAAGATGTTCTGTCAGGTCAGATCTTCGCTGAGCTGCTTGTGCCACCAACGCTGCGCTCTACTTTTTTACTTTTTCCCCTCGCTGGAGTAGTTTGCAATTCTGTTTTTAATACTGTATGGGCTTTTTAGGAACTTTTGTACTCATTTTCCCACCCCCTTCTTCTTTTTACTTAAAATTGCTTTGAGTTCATTAAAACTGGAAGTCCAAAGTACAGGAATGTGACTACACTCAGCTGTTTTTCTTTAAGAATGAGTATCCCTGCTGTTTCCACCAGCTCCTAACTCTTCCCGATTGCTTAATATCAGTTGAAGGGCAGCTGATCCCCTTGGCCTTCCTCCATCTCGGAAGGACAGAGTTGTCAGGGAGTCAGGAGTTTCTGGAAGGATTATATTGCAGAGTTTGTCTCCCATTGTTCCTCCTTCCTGCTTCTTTGACTGATCTACGCTTAGCTTTTGAAAGGCATCATTCACATCTTTCTTTCTTTTTAAACTATCTCTGCCAGTTTTATTTTTTACTAATTCCTCCATTGTGTTTGACTGAGGCATCCCTTAGATTTCTGGAGATGTGAATATTTATAATAGAAAGTACAATCTCTCCTCCCCCTTTTATTGCTTCTGTTCCCTTTTGACCAAGTTACACTGCTCCCTTGCTTAATTCTCATCTCTGGAATCCTCCCGCCGGACTTGTTACACCTATTGGATACTTTTTACGAAAGCTCCCTTTCCTCTCAGCAGCGCTGTGAAGATAACAGCCATAACCTTTGTTAGTCAGTCATCTTCCTAATCACTGGTTTCCACCGAGTGTCCTAAGAGTCCAGTTACTCTCTTTCTCCTGCAGTGCACACATCCTCAAATGAAGGTCTTCCATGTTTGCATCTCCAGCCCTGACAGAGGTAGTTGAAACCCTCCTCATCACCTATAGCACAGACCCACAGATCTTTTCCATCTTAGAATAGAGCTGGAAGGGACCTTGGATATCTTCTAGTCCACCCGGCTCCTGAAGCAGGAGAACCTATACCTATACCATCTTCTACAATTTCATCCTTCCCAAACTGAACTTGCATCATTTTCCCTTTCTTGTCCTCTTCTCTGGAGTGGAAGGATGGAGAAATGTTTTGAACCAGGTCCCCAAGCCCATGATGCAGCGTTCGTTGCAGCAACCTTTGTTCCCACCAAGGAGCAGGGGTGAGAAATCTTGGCAGTTGTTCTGTAAGCCTCCTTGACGTGTAGCTAGGAGACCTGGCCTGGGGCCTTCCCTGGCTGGGAGCAGAAACAGAAGCCTCGACATCCAGTGACTTGTTCTTCCCTGAGATGGAGCCATTCCTGGACAGGGACAGGAAGCATCAGGAGGCACGGGATGTAGAAGAAAGATTTTGGCCATCGTGAAGCCCTGGGACAGACCCACAAAAGAGCGACTGGGTCAGCTTTGAGGATGGGAGGTGCCATTTCAGATTCCTCTCCAGCCAAGAAGCTCCAAGTGGTTTCCTTCCTCCCTCGGAAAACATTTTAAACGAGCTAAAACAGAGGGCAAGGAAAAGAAACCACTTCCTGTCCTGTTTGGCTGCTGGCTTCGATTTACTCTTGGCCTGCCTGAAGAGGGCAGTTGGGCTGGGCGACTGTCGCAGAATTTGGCAGCCTCTTCCAGGACTCCCATGACGGCTCTGTGGGGCCAGAGTGGGGAAGCCAGGCTCGGCTTTTGCGGGTTAAAAGGACCCTGTTTTGCTGCCATCCTGGCTTCAAAGCTCCTTTTATGTAACTTGCTTCATTCAGAGTGCTACCAAAAAGGTGGTTGCCTGTCTCTTATTGGTCTGACTTCTTGAAAGTAGCCAGGCAGCTTTTTCCTAGCCAGAGACTGCACTCTAGTTGGGATCCAGCCCATCCTGCGCCCACATTTTCCACCCCCGAGACAGGCAGATGTGAAAGGACCACTGTGACATCACCTGAGTGGAGTGGAAAAAGCATTCAGCTTCTGTTCTGCTTTGAGGCACCAGAGCAGGGGTGGGTTTCCTGAGCCAGCCTTGTTCTAAAGGGGCCATAGCTGCCCATCCCATGCCAGAGCACGCCCTCGGCCTTGCAAGGAGCATCATGTCCCTAGTCTGGCCCTTCTGGGCCACAAAAGCAAACGCTGTTCTCTACCAAAAAAGGGCCACCCTTGCTGAATGCCTGGTTTGAGGCTGCTTTGCAAATACGTGGCTGGGGGTCCCTGAGTGCCCTCCTAGGCTGGCAAGCCAACCCCGCCCCCCGCCCCCCACCCCTGTAAGCATGTCAGCATTCCGGATTCAGCTGATGTGTATCCCATGATCAAGAGGTAAAACACTAACCCCAGATCTTAAGGACCTGTAAAACATTGCACTCGTCTCCAACCTGTTTTCAGCAACGGGTATTCCTGGGTGACTTTGAGTCACTCCCTCTTTCTCACCCCAGCCTGCCTCACAGCTCATGCAACTGGGGATGAAATGAAAAACAATCGGCCTCTCAGCTCCCTTGGGGAACTGAAGAAAATGTAAGGAACAGCTTATGTTTTAGTTTTTAATTAATAAATAGTCAAGACAGACCAGCTAGCCAGACGAAGGGCGATGCCCGGTCCAGGATGATGCAAAGCTTCCTCACTGCTGAAGCCCCGTCTTCCCTCTCCAGGTACCACAGAGGCATCTGCCATGGAAGCAGACAGCGAAGGGGAAATGGAACTCCTGAGTAGCAGCATTGCAGCCTATGTGCACATCCGAGGTAGGTGGCCCAATGGGGCTTGTTTGGAAGGTGTGCCTGCCACCACACCAGGCAGTGTTTGAGAGGGCTTGATGGGTGCGCAATCCTCCATGCAACACAAGTGGTCTGGCTGAGCAGGAAGTGGCTGAGCCCAATTCTCTGGGAAAGGCTTTCAGGAGCCACTTGATCCTGAAGAATTAGACAGGGTCCTGGTGGCTATAAGCTCAGCTACATGGACTCGTGCCCCGCCTGCTTGGTCAGGGATCCCAGGAGATGGTATGCATTTGGTTGGCGTGGTGGTGAAAGGCTCTGCAAGAGGGAGTGGTGCCACCTATCTTGAAGGATGCAATGGTGGGGCCCTTCTCACTCCAACAGAATTAGACAACCCCCACTCTCCAAACTTCCCCTTATAGGGAAGGTCATTGAGAGGGTGGTTGGCACTCAACTACAGGGCCCTGGATGAAATTGATTATTTGGACCATGTTCCATCCGGATTCAGACCCAGGTACACAACCGAAACTTGTCACACTAGATGACTTTGAGGGGACTAAGATGGGACTGGCCCTCCTGGCCCTCTCAGCAGCTTTTGTACCACCAACCAGTGTGTCTTTCTGGATGGGCATTGGGGGGTTTGGGGTGGGAGGCAGAGTTTTGCAGTGAGCTTCTCCCCTTTCCTGCATAGCAGGGTCCAGCGCCAGACCCTTGCAATGCCTCAGACCTCGAGCCTTTTTTGAGCTCTCCGCTTTAAACCTGAACCACTGGGGAGGTCATCCAATGGCACGGGGACTATACTGTACATCCACCTCTCTCCAGGCAGGGGATGCTATTGCGGTGCTAACTGAAAACCTGGAGGCAGTAAAGGTCTGGATGGGGAGAAATTGGTTTCTGCTCAACCAGTTGAAGTGCCTCTTGGGCCTTTCACCCCCTCCCTCAGCCCAGTTGATACGTCTTCTTTGACTCTGGGTGGGGTTATACTCCCCGGGACTGTGTTCGGGGATGGGGGGGTCCTCCTAGAATCACAGCTCCTCTTCAAGAAGCAGGTGGCAGCCTTGCCTAGGTGGACTTTGCGCAGATTGAAGCCTTGGTCACTTTTTGCTTGGATTACTGCAATGTACTCTCTCCATGGGGCTACTCTTGAAGACCATCCAAAAATTCCAAGTTGGGAGCTGTGGACATGCTGCACAAACAGATTATTACTTTCCTGAAATCCATCTCGTCCAGTCTCTGTGAAGGAGGGAGGGTCAGGCAAAGGGAGAAATCGGTTGCTTGTTTGTCTCTCCCAACGAAGAAAAGATATTGGAGACAAAAGGATCACTTTGCTATCTGTGTAGAAGTTTAGCTTATTATTCTCTTGCAGTTCCTTCCTCTCCAATCTCTCTGCTCCTTAAGGGGGAAAGAAAATCACAGGCACAAGACAACACCTACTGACTGCAACGGCAATCACATGGCAGAAACTCTGCAAAGGTCACTTTGACCACTAAATGAATGGTCAATAAGTAAGGACTGTTTGTACTGCCTTTCAGAAGGCCCTGGAAAATTTCATTTTTTCACCAATTTATGGCCCATAGCTGCTTCAAGTGCAAAGATTATTGTGCCTGTTGCTTTTCTTTTCTGATTTTTAGAATGAAAATCTTATTGTTTTAAGCATTGCTGGTTTTGAGCGTGGTTTCTTATTGTTCTCTTTGAAGTTCTTCCATGAGGGAGAAATGGTGGAGATAGTCAGGTTCCCTCCCTTTAGTCCAGCCCGCCCAGTCGATTGCCCTTCCCTCCTCCTGGAAGAGCAGCACAGAAAGAATCAAAGAGACTCCCCCAAGGAGCCGCTGTGCGACTAGGTGGGAGGTTGGGTCAGGGCGGGTTCTGTGCCCCCGCAGGTTGGGTTCAACCCTCAGGGTGCCCAAGCAGCCCGGTCCTGGAGAGCACAGACTGGGAAGGATTTACCCCACCCCCCAGCCCCCATTTCCTCTTTGACCTGCTGCTCCTCTCTGTCTTGCCTAGATAACCTGGAGAGCGTGGGCCTCTACTTTGTGCTGGGGGTCTGCTTTGGTCTGGTGCTGACACTCTGCCTGCTGGTCATTCACATATCCTGGCACCCTCAAGCCATTCCCCCCAAGCGCCGGAAGAGCCCGCAGGACTTGAGCGAGGAGGAGGAGGAGGAAGAGGAGGAGGAGGAGGAGGAGGAGGAGGAAGATACAACCGACCATGTACTTTCCGTCCCCCCCTTAGCCATGACAGAGCTGCCCCTGGTATCCCCCAGCCCCCCAGACGGAACCCTCACAATCAACGTCTTTGCGTCGGCGGAGGAACTGGAACGGGCCCAGCGCCTGGAGGAGCGTGAGAGGATCCTCAGAGAAATTTGGCGCAATGGCCAACCGGACATTCTGGGAACCGGGACTGGCACCATTGGGAGAGTCCACTACTATTGACCAACCTCTTCCTTCATGCCTAAGCGTAGTGTGCAACTGTCCTTGAGGCACTGCGGCAGTCACAGACCTTGAACTAAGAGGGATAATGGCGGGTGGGAGGGGAGGGGTCTTCCCCAGTGTGAGTGACCCTGACTGGGAGCACCAGGCACAGCCAGTGGGAGTCTGTCAATTGGGACGGAGGACTATGGCAGGGGACCAAGAGGACCACTCCCAGGTACCAGCTCTGACCCGGGGGGGGCGGGGGGGGAAGGAGAGTCCCTCATGGGCTCTGGAAAGGTCTTACAGCCCCCCCTGATGGGTCTGGCAGGGAGGGGCTCCAGGGACTTTGGGCCTGCTCGGTGGAAGGATACAAGACCTGTGCCTCCAGCTGCTGAAGAAGCTGCATTCAGCGTGAATGACCCAGCCCAACCTTTGCTGAGCTGCTTGCCCAGGGATGTGCTCCGCACCCTCCCCGAGAGAGACCCCAGCTGGTGGGCAGGCTCTTCTCCCAACTTGCCCTAGGAAATCCCCCCCACACACACACACACAGAGCCTTACCTGAAGTACTGTATCTTATCTCAGGCTACCTTCCTACAACATGGCGACTCTCCTGGGACTTCCTCTGCAGTGGAATTCCTTGTTTTTTAAAGAGGGGTTGTGTGGGGGGGAGAATAGGGACGTCTGCAGGGTCTGCCAGGGGCGCCTCACGGGCTGAAGACCAGAGACCATGCGCAGGCGCTGTGTTAGGCTAGCTCCTCCCTGCATAGAGGGGTTGATTGGTAGCAAATACTCCATTTAGTAAAATGTACAACTTTGCCTTATCTTTTATAAAACGGGATTATTCCAGTGCGGTTCTTCCTTCTTGTGGTGCTCAGCGCTCCCTCCCTGAGGCTGGTTGTTGGGTGCCTTTGCGGGGGGGGGGGGGGGGGGGGGGGGGGAGGCATCAGTTTTGTATGGCTTGGAAAGAAAGGCCTCGATTCCTCCCAGGGCTGCTGTTGTAGGACAACTTCACTTGAGTCACGTGCCAGTCCAGCCTCCTCCCTGCCCGCCCCCCAGGACACTGATACCTCCCTGAGAAGTTTTGGTTCTTCACGTTCCCCAGGCTTTCACTGGGGGCGGGGGGGGGGATGCGTGGACCACCCCTTCCAGGGCATTCTTGGTTTGTGAGAAGCGAACTGTTCCCACACTTGGTCTTCCCCTCTCCTCCTCCCAGAGATTCCCTAGTCTTCACCTTGCGGGGTGGGGTGGGGGAGATTTGACCCTCCTTCCCTGGTGTGTGTGTGTGTGTGTGTGTGTGTGCGTGTGCGTGCGTGTGTGTGTGTGCATAGATGCAGTTCATGCAAACAAGTAGCTGTAAAAAAAAATTCTTGAGTTAATTTTGGAATTCGGGAAAGCAGTTAATTTTTGTCACTGGAGACAAAGCAGATCCTGGACTCTGGAGAACCGAACCCCCCCTTGGAGGGGAGGGGGTGCTCCTGGGACAAAGAAACTCCACGCATTCGCTTTCCTCCTGGCTGCTCCCACCCCGCTTCCTCTCCCCCCAGGGAGGAGTGGTAAAAATAGCCTTTCCACTCAGTCCCGTTGTAACTTGAACCAGATGTTTGCCAGATGTTTTCCTGCAAGCTGTTTCCTGCAACTGCCAAAAACCATCCAGGAGACTGTTGGGAGCTCTACGCAAGGGGAAGGGGGAGGGGGAGCAGCCCTTCTGGGTCTGGCAGGGAAGAAACGGAAACCCTTTCCTTGGAGGGGGGGGGGCAGGAAGGCAGCCCACCCTTTCGCCTCTCTGCCTTTTTTACTCCACGCACAACCAACTCCGATCTCTTCCACTCCAGGGAAACAAAGGGCTGGTCTGTCTGTGGAGAAGCCCTGGGAACCTGTGCTATTCCCCCCCCCGCCCCCCCGCTCTTCTCCAGGTGCGCCTTGATGCAAATGCACGCCTAGGCTTTTCCTGGGATTTAACTGACTTAGGATCGTAAGGGGGGGGGGGATTCCCACAAACTGATAAAACATGTGAGAGATGAAGGCTTGAACGGGGTTCTTCTGAGGCGCTGGTGGTTTTGGTTGAGCTGGGATTTGAAGGAAGGCCACAAGGCTGAAGGCCCGTAATCAGAAAATAGAAGACTTGCAAGAGGATTTGGAGATCATCTAGTCCAGCCCGTGCCCATTGCAGGAGTCCAGCACTGAAGTATCCCTGACGATGCCCACCCAGCTTCATGTTTCCTACCCAAATGCAGGACTTTCCATCCGTTCCATTCCCAAATCACTCTTGAAGAACGTGGCCCCAAAGTGGACAGGGCCTCCCTGGTGCCCTCTGGTCACCTGCAGACTTGACTCCCGGGTGGTCCTCTCCCCTCCTTCCCCATGGATCCCACCCAGGTCGTCTTGAAGCTGATCAAAACTCCCTTGCTGCATCTACTCACACATGAACTCCTGGCAAAGCGAAAAGGTAGTCCTCAACTTACGACCACATGTTGCTAAGTGAGAAATGTGTTAAGTGAGTTTTGGCCCATTTTATGATTTTTCTTGCCCCATTTGTTGAGTGAATCACTGCAGTTAAGTTAGTAACCTGGTTGTTAAGTGAATGTGTCTTTTCCATGGAGTTTGCTTGTCAGAAGATCGCAAGAGGGGATCACGTGAGACCCCAGGACTCTGCAGCCATCCTAAATAGGAGCCAGTTGACAAGCACCTGAATGTTGATCCCCTATGACCCTGGGGATGCTGCAACGGTCATAAGTGTGAAAAATTGTCGTTCTTTTCAGTGCCATTGTAAATCATAAGTCTCTTTTTTTTCAGTGCCGTTGTGCCGTTGTACCTTTGAACGATCACTAAATGAACTGTTGATAAGTCGAGGACTCTGTATTCCACTCCTGCAGTCCAATTCCAAGCAGTTAATTCCCCAACAAAAAATATGTGTGTTCATCCTTTGCAATACAACCGCGAGTTCCTTCGCACACAGGAAGGAGCCAGAGGACAAAGAGTGGTTGGTTTCACTCACGGAACGAGTCCTCTGGAACCATCGTCTCTGGATTGCAAGTACCCAGGATGCTTTGCCCAAAGCAGATCCCACTGCAGGGTGGGCCACTGCTGGCTCCCCACCTATGGGCGTGGCCCAAGGCCTTCCTGCCAAGGCTCCAGATGGAGCAGATCTGAGCGCCTCATTTGAGAGGCGGAGGACTCAAAGGGAACCATTTTGCCCAAGGGAACCGTTGCGCATCCCTTCCCAATTTATGCCAATGTTACCCACTCACTCTGCGTACTTGGCAAGCTGTGCACCCCTTGTCTTTGGGACCCCCAAGCGAGAGAGCTGCGGGCAGCCAGCCTGTTGCAGCTCGTGAGCAGAACAGAAAGCATCATCTCTGGTACTGGGCACGGTGTGGCAATCTGCCTGTTGCGTGAGGACAGGTAGCCAGGTATTTCCACAAGCCACGATGGCTTTTGACGGAAGGGCCCTGGGAGCTGGGGAAGCCAGGAGTCTCCTGCAGCTGAAGGGCTAGAAGCCTGGCAATAGATGGTGGCGTTTGGGGTCCTTTCTCTTTTTTTTAATATATACATTTTTATTTTTCTAAACAAACACAGACAAAACAATACATAAAAACATAAAACCATCTTTCAATTACATGCAGTGTGTCGATTGGTTGCGTTTGGGGTGCTCTTTCTTAAAAACTGATTTCACGGCTGTCACTATGTACCCAGGAGCAGGCTCCGCCTCTGCCCACGTAGAGGACGATGGGCTCTGCTACTGAAGGATGGGCTCCTCCCAGTGAGAAAAGCCAGGCTAACGTGAGACTCAGGCTGGACCAGAGCTCCGCCATCTGTAGCGTGGAACAAATGGTAGAAGTCCAAGCAGGGCAAACGTGACTGGAGAGGCAGGCAAGTTGGGCAGCCTCGCCATCCACAGTAGCCAGGCTTGCCGACATCTGAAGAGGCGGGAGAAAACGAACTGCGTGGGCGCCCCCTGCCGCTGGAAGCACAAGCCAAATGGGAACCGTTCCCCACTGGTGCCCGCATCTGTGCACCCCTGGACTGGGTTTCAGCTACGCTTTAAACACAGCTGTTGCTGCACTCTACTAGTGGGCAATTGCTTCATTTGGAAGCCAGGCCCCCTGAAAAGGAGGTCAGAGTTCCCGGCTCTGCACAGATAGTATGGGTGAGAGGCACCTTAAGGTCTTCTAGTCCAACCCCCTGCTCAAGCAGGAGACCCTGGGCCTGTGCCATTCTGGACAAATGGCTGTCCAGTCTCTTTCTGAAAGCCTCCACAACGTCTGGAGGAAACTTCTCCTTTGTTCTAGGTTGGTTCTCTCCTCGCTTAATGTCCAAGATTCCACATGGGGGTCACGTTAAGTATATTAAATGCATGTTAAACCGAAGGAGCAAAGGAAGATTCTGCAACCCAACACACTCTTCACTTAACCTGCACAATTTCTCCCTGTCCGTTCTAAATAGGAGTCTTTCAAGATTTTACATCTAAGCTTGGCTTGTATGGAACACCTTCTAAGCTGAACTGTGATTTGCTTGACGTAGGCTTGCCAATTACATTCAATGAGCAAACGAAGGTGTGTTGTGTGACCACAGCCTAAACACTTGTGCAGAGTTGGATCCAATTAATGCTTGGACAGGAGGGAGACCAGCACAAACTGCCAGGATTCTAGAAATACTAAACAAGCCTAGATAAGGACCTTTATGTAGTCACCAGGAGCTGCTTGACTAAAGAAAGTCTTTATCTCCACTCGAGGCAGAATCCCAGCCAGAGTTCAGGACAACCACCCACACTCTCCTGGTTAGTTGGCTAAAGCAGTGGTCGCCAAACGGTGGTCCGCAAGAAAATTTTGGTGGTTCGCAGAGAAATGTCACCCCCCAGAGCATCTCCCAAAGCAAATAATCCAGGCTGTGCGGAACACCAGGCTTGCTTGGCTTGCATTAGGAACACCACAAGGTGGTAGTGAGGGGAGGGGGGAAAGGGTGGAGGGGGGGACTTGCCCGATGCGCCTGGCCTGGCCACTGAGAGAGAGAGAACACCTCCAGACCTCTGAGGTTAGATCAGATCTCTCCCTCTCCCTCCCGCCAATGTCAGCAAGCCACGTCAGTCAAAATTCACATTAGTGGTCCTTGGGATTTAAAAATGAAAATGAAAAATACTCCCCCAGCCCTCTCCCCCACAAGAGCCTCGGTGACTAACTAGATCCACTTCCCCACTCTTCATTTCTTAATCACGGTTCACCATCTCTGCCTGGAAACAAATCCCAATATGTTGCTCCAAATTCCGATGGGAATGGACATCCTTTGCTGCCCCAGGAAGCCCCTAACACACCCACTTCCATTCTCCTAGAGAAATGTCATTATTGTATTTTTCCTAGGCCGGTGTTTCTCAACCGTGGCAACTTGAAGAGGGGTGGACCCAGAATCCCCTGCCAACTCCTAATTCTGGGAATTGAACTCTGTACCTCTTCAAGTTGCTGAGGTTGAGAAACACCGGCCTAGGTCAATATTCAGGCCCCAAGCCCCTTGTAGTGCAGATCAGGTGTTTTTCTCAGCATTAATGCACATTTTTCAGAAGTCTGCCATGGCTCTTCTGTTTCGTCTGCACACCGGATTACGCCTACCAGGTATGAGTCTACTCAGCCAGAGCACTGCAGGAGATGCTGGACACTCCGCTTGGAAAGAAGAGTCCAAGAATCCTGACATGAAACGTCTCTGTTTATCAATCCTGCTGCTCACCCCCCAAACTTGGAAAGCACCTCATAAATGCAATCCAGGAAAGAGATGCCGTAGAGGAAATGTTGCTACTCTGTTAAGTTTGGACCTGTGTGTGGTACCAAGGTAGCAAAGACCCAGGTGAGTCCA